TAGGTACCGGGGCAGGTGAAGTAAACATCTTCAAAGAACATTCTTTCTCGGGGATATCTGGTTTTCAGCGAGGGGAGGGGAGGCCGATGTGAGGGAGGCCCATGAGAGGTGAGTTCTGAGAACCAAGAAGGTGCCGGATTCAAAATGGAGTCCCTTGTGCCAAGACCAGGCACTTTGACACATATATTGAAACAATCTTATATGTACTCCTCACTTGATTAAATAAAGTAACTGCTTTTATTCCGTAAACTTCACACTTGTGCAGAAGTACTCCTACTTCTCTCTCACCAGAGGTATATGCTATGAGTATGTGCTGCTGCTGTTCTTTTTTTTTTAAAAATCATTTTATTGAGGCTTGTACAATTCTTATCACAATCTAGGCGTCCATCCATTGTGCCAAGCACATTTGTACATTTGTTGCCATCGTCATTCTTAAAATATTTGCTTTCTACTTGAGCCCTTGGCATCAGCTCCTCATTTTTTCCCCTGCCTCCCCACTGTTGCTGTTCTTTAGCTTTCTTTTCTCCCTATATTAAAAAAAAAGTTTTATTGACATATAATTCATATACCATGCATGTCATTGTATAATGTCATTAACTATTAATGACAACTATTAACTAAAATGTTCCCAAACATTTTATTCCTTGTACTCATTGCTACTAGCTCCCTATTTCCCTCCACCCTTCCATATTCTCAATAAGCCATTAATCCAGTTACTATCTGTATAGATTTACCTACCCTTCTCCTTAATTATCTCTCTGACATATTTCTGTATCTCCAAACTCATTGCCATTGAGGCAAAGCTGACTCATATCGACCCTCAAGGACAGGGTAGAAGTGCCAGAGACTGTAACTCTTTCCGGGAGTAAGAAGCCCTGCGTTTATCTTGCTTGGAGTGGCTAGTGGTTTTGAACTACTAACATTGCGGTTAGCAGCCCAACACCTAACTACTATACCACTCTGTAGTGGCTCCATTTTGTAGCAGTCATAACAATCTTTGTAGTTTCTTTTAAGTACGTAGTATTTAATAGATACAAAATATTTTACTAACTAGTTCCCCTCCTGATGCACCTCTAGGTCCTTCCCCTCCCAAATAAACTTAACTGGTGCTTTACTGGGAAGCATTATGGTAGAAGCTGTGGAGTGGGAATGGTTGAATTTAAATCCAAGTCCTGGAACGTTTAGGTAGCAGACTGTGAACCAATCATTTCACTACATTAATCTGTTTAACTAAAAAAGGAAGAGTTACTAACACCTACGTATTAGGGTTGTTTGGAAGATTTAGCTGATATCTTATTCATAGCAAATGCTTAATAAAAGTAGCTGTGATTACTTTATACAGTTTTATACTGTTGGATTATAGAGGCAGGCGATTACTAAAAGACAATTTGTGTTTTGCGCTGTTCCAAGTCTAGTAAGTAATGTGCTGGAAAACAATGACATGCCTTTGTGCAAATTTAGGACTAGAATATAATTTTAGTTTGTAAGGATAATCATTATTATATGAACATTTAAAATTGTAACCAGGTAAAATCATGTTTCCCCTATGAAAACATTTTTATTCCATTTAGTTTTCATGTTTTTACCAGTGAAGCTTCATCAAAATTTTGTTTTGTTTTTCCCAGATGAAATTCCTTGGCTTCAAAACAAAATCTTGAATCTAATATGAGTTCATTGAGAGGTGGTTTTTATTCCTTAAACTTACTGGCTTTTTGGTCTTATGCAGTTTTGATTTTATGTTATGTTAGCTAACATCGAATTGATTTTGAGTTATAGTGACTTCATATATTACGGAACTGTCACTGTGCTCCATAGGATTTTCAGTGGCTGTGGTCATTTGATAATCTACTGCCTTTTTCTGAGATGCCTGGGTGAATGAAAATTGCCAGCCTCACTGTAATAGCTGAGCTTGACCATTTGTGCCACTCAGGAACTCCTTCATGATACGAGAATGAATTCTTGGCTCATGTTTTGTTAAAGACAGTAGGGATGTATCATAACCCATGCCATTAAGAGAAAACTTATATTTCATTGGGAAGTATGTATCTGGTTTATATCAGTGATTGGTAGTTGTATTATGTGCATAATGCATAAAATTGTCAATATTTTCATAAAAGTTTTTAAAAATTAAGCTTTTTAAAAAATCTGTAGGTATAAAAGTGCAAAGGAATGGCTTTTCATTTCTAATGACATCTTCTGTAATTACAGTTGTCGCATCAGTTTACCTTTGCATATTTGGCTTTGGGAACACATTGCTGTTCAATTGATTCTGACTCATAGCAACCCCATGGGACAGAGGAGAATAGCGTTTCCAAGGCTGTAAATCTGTATGGAAACAGACTGCCACAGCTTTCTCCAGAGGAGCAGCTAGGGGGCTTGAAACCACTGCCTTTCAATTAGCAGCTGTATGCTTAGTCCATAGGTATGTAACTTCTTGACCTTGGGAAGGGAAACATCTGTATATAGAAATAGGTTGCGGGGAGTGGAGAGGAATGGGAAAAATGAGGAGCTGATGCCAGCGGATTGGGTGGAGAGCGGATGTTTTGAGAATGATGAGGGCAATGAATGTACAAATGTGCTTTACACAATTGATGTATGTGTGGATTGTGATAACAGTTGTATGAGCCCCTAATAAAACGATAAAAAAAGTTATGAGTTAAGTCAAACGTATTGTTACAAAATCATAGAAGCCTTTATTAAACAAAAATATCATTAAAAAGGGGAACCTATGTTTTTGCCGCCTTGGTAGTAGCTTAGAGTCTATAAAAATTATGACCTTTAAAAAAACCAAAAACTAAAAACAAACAAAAAAACCCCAAAACTAACGTTGAGGGTAGGGCTTTTCAATGGCAACAAATAAAACCTAAAGGTTTTTAACACTAATTGCTGCTTGCTGTTGGGCTAAAAGCTTGAACCTGAGAAACAATAGGAGGTGAACATTATTGGCTAACATTAGCTTGGGCGTTTTGTTTTCCACCATCGCAGACAAAGCAAGGGGTTTTCCTTCCCAGTGGATTGTATAACGTACACTGCCAGTCTCTTTGTCTTCTGTTCCCCATGGCTTCTTCTGATACCCAGGTGAAAGAACTGGAGAAGCGGTCCTCTGGGCAGGCCTTTGAGCTGATACTCAGCCCCCGTTCAAAAGAGGCTGTCCCAGAATTCCCTCTTTCTCCTCCAAAGAAGAAAGACCTTTCCCTGGAGGAAATTCAGAAGAAATTAGAAGCTGCAGAAGAAAGACGCAAGTCCCATGAAGCGGAGGTCTTGCAGCGGCTGACTGAGAAGTGGCAGCATGAGAAGGAGGCGCTGCAGAAAGCAATAGAGGAGAACAACAACTTCTATAAGATGGCCGAGGAGAAGCTGACCCACAAAATAGAAGCCAGCAAAGAGAACCGAGAAGCACAAATGGCGGCCAAGCTGGAGCGCTTGCGAGAAAAGGACAAGCACGTGGAAGAAGTGCGGAAGAACAAGGATTCCAAAGACCCCGCTGATGAGACTGAAGCCGACTAGCTTGTTCTGAGAACTGACTTTCTCCCCTCCCCTTCCTGGATATCCAAAGACTACTGGCCAGAGTCTTTTTATTATTATTATTATTATTTCCCTCCTGACAAATACTCTAGCCAATGTAGGACTTACATAGGTCGATCCAGACCATCTGATGTTTTAGGGGGTAAAAGGGAGAAACGAAAAGCGTTTTACTCCTATTCCTAAAGTGTTGGAGTGTTTCTAATGTAGCTATATTTCTTGTTGCGTCTTTTCTACTCCAGTGCACACAGTGTACTGAGTGAATGGCTAGTACTGTAGTGGCCCCGTAGAAACATGTTCGTGAAAAGAGTATGTAGTGGCTTCTCTCAAAACTGCTAGATGATGAATATCTGTTTGCTTTTAAGTCCCAGTTCTGTCCCGATTTTACCAGATGCTACTGTACTTGAATGCTTAATAAAACTGTACAGTGCTGCTGTGGCAGTGGAAAAAAATCATTAAAAAAAGAGAAAAGAATCTGAAACCACGTGAATGAACTCTTCATACTTGGTTACATTAAAATTGATTGGCCTATATTGAAAAAAAAAAGAGGGTGTTTAACACTCCTGAAGTCGAGTAGAAGTCATTTGTTTCTGCAAGTGCATGTCATGAGAATAGAACATGAATACATATTATTTAGCAGTATTCTGATGCACTTTTCAGCAGTTACTTCACTTAGATCTCATAAGAATTTCATGAGGAGCAGATATTAAAATTATCACCATTTCATTCATAAAGAACAGGCCTATAAGATTTAAAAAATCACTCCAGTAATAATATTCCTACCAGGAATAATTGTGCCTGTACTTCTATAAATGCACACTTATAATTTATATACATCTACAATTATACTAAATTATTAGTACATTAATTAAAAAATGTAAGAATATAGGAAAATTAAAGCTTTGCTTCTCATTAAGATATACCGTTTTTTGTCTTTTAAATGAGAGCAATAGGTTTATTTTATTTGACCTTTTGGTTTATATGGTCAGATCAGATTTATAAGTGAAACCTGCTTCTAAGTTGAGTTTATTTCTAGTCTTGATTTTGTTTTTGGCTGTAGGCTTCACGCACTATTTAGCTATCGTGTCTGGGGAATATGGTTGTGATGATCAAGCAAATTCCTCAGGTGAAAGTAGAAACACTGCAGTTTTTTCGTGTATTCAGAGATTAGCTTAAGTATAGTGAACAGGTTTTTGTGAAGTAATCTAGTACCTACATTACCTTGAAAACTTAGATTCTGGGAAAAATAGGTTCTGAATTCTGATCAACTGGATTACAAACGAATTTGTAGAATACAACTAAGATAACAAACCCCACATCTGTTACATCAATTGGAATGAATAGTGACCAGAGTGGTCAATAGAACTCCTGAAGGCTTCAGAGATGATAAATCTTAATGAGCAGAGAGCCTCTTGTAGTTAGCAGCCCAACACTTACCCACCGTATCACCAGGGTCCTTCAAAAGGTAAAAACCAAAAACCAGTCACTGTCATCAAGTCACTTCTGATTTGAAGTGCCCCTCCAGGACGGGGTAGAACTGCCCATGTGGATTTCCAAGACTTAATTAACTCCTCACGGGAGTAGAAAGCCTCATCTTTGCTCCTGTGGAGCAGCTGGTGGTTTCTACTGCCAAGCTAGTGCTTAGCAGCCCAGTGCTTTACTGCCCCAGCAGGACTGCACAGCCAATTTAAGATGAAGTGGGTTTAAGTTAGTGCAGGAGATAAATGTCATTCATAATGAAAATGACAGGAAGTCCAGGCATTCATTTTTGCTTTGGAATATTTTTATCTTGGATTCAACCTCCAGTCCTAGCAACTCTATAAAACAATAGAACTGCCCTCTAGGGTTTCCAAGGTTGTAAATCTTTACCAAAGCCAGCTCATGCATGGAGCAGCTGGTGGGTTTTCACAACCCAAGTGATATTTTGATTAGCAGTTTAGTGCTTAACTACTGTGCTACCAAGCCTCCTTACACCAGTAAACTCTTGTAGATATTTCCTTTTATTAGAATTACTCTTAGTACACGCATGGTGTGAGTGTTTGGTTTTCTCATCAGAATGTTGATGAGAAACATCCTTTTACTGATGAGAAAACAGGCCATAAGAAATAAACTAACTTGCCCAAGATTTCAGTTAATTAATGGTGGGCATTCAAATCCTGGTCTGTCATTCTTTTATCTTTTTCGCATGAGCTGTAAGTCTTTGCTGTAAACTGATGATGGGCTAGGTCAAAGTACACAGATGTTCTCTATGCAAGGTAGTTGGATAGTAGATTTTTTACTGTTGATGTAATTGCAGAATATCAAATAATGAGATAGTGAGATTATTTTTCTGAGATTACTCTTCTGAACGTGTAATTATTCTTCTGAGAGACGTGGTTAAATAAACAACCTACCTCTTAAACCAGCTGTATGTGACTTCAGGCAAATTACGTACTTTTCTGAGCTTCAGTTTCTTAAAAAATGGGAATAGCAGTGTCTACCTTTTAGGATAGTTGGGAAGATTAAGAAAATGTACATAAGGTACTAAGCTGGATATGAACATACTACCCCAAAGCTACTGCCATTGAATCAATTTTGTCTTATTGTGACTATATATTATCTAATAAATAGTAACTAGTATTATTAATAGAGTCCCTGGGCGATGCAGATGGTTAAGGTGCTTGACTGCTAACCAAAAGGTTGGAGTCCATCCAGAGGCAGCATGGAAGAAAGGCTTGGCAGTCTGGTCATAAAAAATCAGCTCTTGAAAACTTTGTAGGCACAGTTCTACATATGGGGCCTTTGTGAGCCAATGAACTCAATGGCAGCTGACTTGGTAGAAATAATAACAGTCATGTTTTCATTAGCTTAGTGTTTCTCAAGAGTAAGGAATGTAGAATATATCAACCAGCTGGCAGGTCACAGAGGCCCTGCCCTCATTAGGAATTTTAATTAACATTTCAGATAATTACTAAATAAGTTTGTTGTTTCATGGTTCAAGGAGAGTAAGATGCCTATGCTAGTTGACTGACCCGCCTTAATTTCTGTAACGCTTATTGCAACTTTAGACTTGGGGTTAAAGTTGGAAGAATTCATAAATTAGAAAGAGTTCCTTGGCTGGTTGAATGACATCAACAACAATTCTGTGACAAAAAGTAAGCACATTTGAATAATGATTAGTGGTTCATTAATTACTTTGCCGTATTAAAATCTTTTCATTAGCACAAAATCTCACGATTAGCTAGGCACCGGGCTAGTTTTATGGTGGATATTTATTTATTTTTAATTTCAAAAGTTTTAAGATTCATTATCTAATATTTAAAATCTCCAAAAAGATATGAGTAATATAAAAACTATTTGTAAACCTGTCTAGAAACAGAACATTACTAACGTAGTTATAATTCTCTCTATTTGTCTCTCCTCTTTGCTCCTTTTGTAGTCATTACCTAGAAATTGTTTTAAATTATTCCTTTACATTTATGCTACATTTTTTAGATCACTAAATGCTATATAGTACTATATTTTGTATTTTATAATTTTTTACATGCTCAGCATTATGTTTGAAGGATTCATCCATGTTGAATTGTGTGTCTGTTGTATGTTCATTTTAAATTGTATGCCTTATGGTGGAGATCTGTATTAGTCTGGGTACTTTGGAGAAACAAATCCACGGCGACTCACGTATAAGAGAGTTTTATGTAAAGAAAA